GGGAGGCGGGTGAAGGCACAGGGAGGGCCCCCACGCACGCCCTCCCCACGCCGCTGCCTGCCCTCAGCACCGCCCGACGCCCTCCGCTCTGCTGGCAGGCGGCATGATCAGCTTCGACGTCTTCCCAGAGGGCTGGGACAAGCGCTACTGCCTCAACGTGCTTGACGACGAGCGCTTTGACACCATCCACTTCTTTGGGAACGAGACCACCCCTGTGAGTATTCCCAGGAGCCCAGCGCTCGGCCTCTGTCTCTTTTCCAAGCGAGCACTGTGCCGAGCTGCTCCCTCACAGCTCCCTGCGGCATGATCAGCTTCGACGTCTTCCCAGAGGGCTGGGACAAGCGCTACTGCCTCAACGTGCTTGACGACGAGCGCTTTGACACCATCCACTTCTTTGGGAACGAGACCACCCCTGTGAGTATTCCCAGGAGCCCAGCGCTCGGCCTCTGTCTCTTTTCCAAGCGAGCACTGTGCCGAGCTGCTCCCTCACAGCTCCCTAAGCTGGAGCCTTTGCCAGCGGCCGACAGACCTCTAGCGGTGCAGGAGGAGAGATGCTGTCGCGTGGGCACGTTTGCAGCAGGCTTGCAGCATTTGCAAATCCATCTGGATTGTGCCAAAATCACATAGGATTTGCTGTGCTGGGTCTGTGCCAGTAGTGCTTACCCCACTACAGCACACACTGGTGGTGTCAGATGTTCCTGGGGCCACCAAGACTCAGAAGTCAAGCCCTAAACACCAAAGAGGGAATTTCAGGAACAGCTTTGCCTTCCCTTTAGCCTGGTGGAGGGTGATGCTTCCTTGCTGCTTAGCCACCCCCTTGGTACTTTCCCTCCCAGATGCTGGCAGATGTGCCCACGCCATCTCCTGGTAGACCCTTCATGAACAGGGCTGGGTTAACCCTGCCCTCCCAGACCAGCTGAGCTGGTCTAGGGCCTTCCTATCTTTCCCAGGGGATGCAGTGCTCTCCAGTGGTGGCCAGGGAGAGGGGGAGCAAGGGGGCGGGAGAGAGGGTGTGTGGGTCACAAGGGAGCCAGCAGAGCCCGAGGCGCCCATTCCCCGCTGCCTGCCGTGGCGCTGCACGTGAACGCAGCGGGCTGGCTGCGCGCTCCCACCCCAGCACCAGCGCCAGGGAGACTGCGCTGCAGCAGCAAAGGGAGGTTCCTGCCAGGACAAAACAGGCTGCGGGTTGTTGGAGGAGGCCCTAACGAGGCTCTGCTAACGTTTCCCCTGTTTTCCCCTGCAGGGAGGGAACGATTATGAAATCTATGACGATCCCCGAACGGTGGGACACAGTGTCCAGTCCCCTCAGGACACCGTCCAGCGATGCCGTGAAATCTTCTTTCCAGAGAGAGCTAATGAGTGCTGACGGGGAGATCCCTGCAGCCCTTCCCTGCCACTCTCTTCCCCCATGAGGAAAAGCACCTTCACTTGAGAAACCTGCTCAGGGTAGACTGGAAAACACTTCCAGAGCCGGTCAGGATTTAATATGTGAATGCAGGTGGATGTGCAGAAGGGGGGCTCAGTTGTTCAGCCCTTCAGCACACCCCATTTACAGATGGGGAGCAGACAGCCCCTGCCTCCAGAAAAACGCTTTCTAGTTTAGGCCTAGGTGGGAGGCACTACCTGCTTTCTTGATCTGAAAGCATTTGAAATGGTTAGTCATGACAGCGTGCGTGTCCCTTCTTGCTCCCTCCTTTTTTTTCTCTTCTTCCTCGCTCTGTTTGTCTTAACACTTCTGCACAAGGGAATGTGCATCTCACATTTCTCTCCCACTTTCCCTTTGACAGGGAAGATGGCTCTGCTCAGGCTCCAAGCACTCCCTGGAGAAGCAAGATGCCATAAGGCAGTTTGCTCCAAGCCCCTGGTAGGAAGGGGCAGCAGCAACCCCAGCTTGTTGCAGTGACAGCCTAGCAGAGAGGGACACGGTGTCCGCGTTGCCCCAGGCCCTCGGGCCCGCATGCATCCCTCGCCTGAGTTCCACATGGGGACAGTCCTTAGACATAGAATCATAGAATCATAGAATGCTTAGGGTTGGAAGGGACCTCTAGAGATCATCTAGTCCAACCCCCCTGCACACGCAGGGTCACCTAGAGCACGTGGCACAGGACTGCATCCAAGCGGGTTTTGAAGATCTCCAGAGAAGGAGACTCCACAACCTCTCTGGGCAGCCTGTTCCAGTGCTCTGTCACCCTCACTGTCAAGAAATTTTTCCTTAAGTTCATGTGGAACTTCTGGTGCTTCAGTTTGTGGCCATTACCTCTAGTTCTGTCAGTGGCCACCACTGAAAAGAGACCATC